TTCTCCTCCTCCTTTCCTTCTTCTTCTCTTCTTCCTGTCTCCTTCCTTTCTCCTCCTCCCTTGCTGCCCCCCCTTCACCAGCATCAGAAGTACTCTTCCCAGCTGTGCACTCCAGAGCATGCAGTCCCGGCCCCAGCCAGTGACCTTCCTAAAATGGATACCATGCCCCTAGCAGATGCTCTTGACACCCTACTCACTCTCTGCATCCAGTCCTTAGTCTTAACTCTGCGGTATCCCTAAGGGGTTTGTTGCATCCTTCTGCATGTGCATATGATACACTGGAGGCCTTGCACTGCTCTGCTGGTCGGTGGGCTCATTGTGCCCTGACCCTCTCTATACATCCATTTATCAGACAGGACTCCCTGCACTCCTGAAGGGTAGATCCTGTTTGCATGCTGAGTAGCACGGACTAGCTTTGGCCGGGCAACTCTGACTGCAGTTCCGACATCTCCTTCAGTGAGACCTGAATCCCAGCCTTGGGATTTACCCATTTCGGTAATCTTTCTTGGGTAATCTTGCACCTTAGGGTATTTGGATTTCTTTTCTCATCTTTATAGTTGATCTACTGTTATAGTTCATCATTGTTTATATTAAACGTTCCCTGTTGAAATTACTAAGTGGTTTGTCTCCTGTTTGGACCCTCACTGATACACTATCCCTTCTTTTTGGAATGTGCTTCTCTCCCTCTCACTGGCTAATCCCTATTCGTTCTTTAAGTTTTAGCTTTGATATTGCATCCATCCCTGACTCACTACCCTTATTTTTTACATGACTCCGTAGGCCCTTTGTGCTCACCTTAAATGTGGCATTAAACTCGCCTCTACTCCGTGAACACCGCAATGTCATGTTTGTTGTTCCCTCACTGACTCCCACAATGCCAGAATACAGGTTTTCTGATTTAATTTTGTGGTCCCTTTGAGGTGGTTCTCCCAGGTCAGGGATTTTTAGTAGACTATGGCCCAGATCATCCTCAACACACTGGAGCCCTCAAATTCTCATCATTGTTTAATTACGACATAGTTTCAGTTTTCCTCAGGAGATAGAGTGGACTGCAAGGGAAGAGATATCCAAAGGAATGAATAACCAGTTATGAAAAACTGTTGGTTGTTTTTAAAAGATTTTTATTTATTTGAGTGTGAGAGAACACAAATGTGGGTGGAGACACAGGAAGGGGGAGAAGTAGACTCCCTGCTGAGCAGAGAGCTGGAGGCAGGGCAACCCCAAGGCCCCTGAGTCCTGACCTGAGCTAAAGAAGCCTTATTTTTATAAGATTTTATTTATTTATTCATGAAAGACACAGAGGAGAGAGAGAGAGGCAGAGACACAGGCAGAGAGAGAAGCAGGCTCCATGCAGGGAGCTTGACGTGGGACTCGATCCCGGGACTCCAGGATCTCGCCCTGTGCCAAAGGCAGGTACTAAACCGCTGAGCCACCCAGGGATTCCCTTAATGAAGCCTTTTAATGGACTGAGCCGGCCAGGTGCCCCTATGGAAAGTGTGTGGTGAATTTCTTGGCAACTCTTAAAAGGAGGAGACATTCATGACAGCCCTGAAGTAGAATTGGAAAACCTGAGCTAAGGGATTTGGTAAAGCATTCATATCTCAGTTGTTTTTCGTCATAAAACATACATTACTCTAACACTTTGTTATTTTCATTGGTATAACTACCAAATGAGTATGCAGCAAAGTTGAACCAGGACATACATGAGACTCAGATGGGGATGGGAGTTCTAATCAGGAACTTTCTAGAGGATGTCTGTTCTGGATCCGAAATTGTTTTCCACAGAAGTCTGGGGATTGGAAATCTTAGGTTTCAGGTGATTGTGAGAAAGTCTTTGGGGGATCCACCTAGCATTTGACCAAGGAACAAAGAAGCTCAGAGTTGGACTACCATATACTCTTTGAGTATCTCTGATCTATACAAAAACACTACAGTCAACCAAATTCTTCAACTTACCTGGAGTCCTGGTGTGGAGTTCCTGTCTCCTTATAGCCTAGTAATGCCGTTGCCTCTCATCGCAGGTTGCGTTAGGAAATGTCAGTCTTCTATTCAATTGTCACTACAGAGAGCCTCTACTGGTCTCATAAGTCACCCTGGGGAATTCTAAGGGGACAAAAGATAATTTTCTAGCTGGCACCTGTAAGAGACAAATGCTTGATGCTCATAGTTGCAATCATTCACACGCACCAATACCATTTGGTCTAGCTAAGCTGAATGGGGCCAAGAAATGGTTTCTTGTTGTTGTTCCTTTGTTTTTGTTCATTGCTCTTCCACCAGTGAACATGATTTGCCCTGGAACTAGCCACCCTCTCAGAAGCCACCTAGTGGTCTCCAGAGTTCTGTAGCTCATTCCAGCAGCAGTTTCTGAAGATGCAGACCCCCTTAGTTTCTAGGTTGCTCATTCCAAACTACTACTTGTCAGATCATGCAACCTACACACACAAAATGGCATTAAATGGCCTCTGAAATAAGTGCCTACACTTATATCTATGCGTTTGTCTTGCTGTAAAAACACACCAAACTTCCCAGTTTTGCTGGTGCATCTTGTGCCAACAGTGGCTTCTGTTAGATTTTGTTGGTCAATTTCTTTCTTTCTTTCTTTTTTTTTTTTTTTAAGATTTTATTGATCTATTTGACAGAGAGAGAACAAACAAGGATAAGGAGCAACAAAGGGAGAGGGAGAGGCGGGTTCCCCATCGACCAGGTAGCCTGATACGGGGCTTGATCCCAGGACCCTCAGATCCTGATCTGAGCTGAAGGCAGATGCCTGACTAAGCCCCCACCCCCTCCCTTTTCTAAGCAGGCTATAGTCCCCACAGGAGGCTTAAACTCACAACCCCAAGACCAAGAGTTGCATATTCTATCAACTAAGCCAGTCAGGGGCGGCTCCTACTTTGGTTAATCCTTAAAATCATTAACAAATGTAATAGGAATCTGGTGAGTTTGGGGGTAGCTAGTTTTGTATTAGCTGTTGTCATGGGTTTGCTCCTGCTTTTTTCTATCTGCCTCACCCACAATATCGCGTGTAGTCCGGTTGTAATTAATTAATGTATCAATTACCACCACATTAAAAGGAGTTTCTGTAGACATTCATATACAGCCTCTGTGTGTGTGTGTGTGTGTGTGTGTGTATCACATACACATAAATATGAACAGCCTATCCTGTTTGTATTTTACTTGATTTTTTTTTTTCAACCACATCATACCATTCTTTGATGTAGATCTTTCTGGTGAAATCTTTCCCATCCAATTCGTGCCTTCCCTGAGTATCTTCGAGAAACTGCCAACTTTTGTTAACAAGCATGTAGTTTAAAATGTGCTTTACTCTCATTACCAAATAAATACACAGATATCAAAAGAGTGACCACTTAGAAGTTATAATGGGAAAATCTATCATTTCATTAGAAAAAAGAAAAAGCCAGGATATAAATACATCACGAAGTGTATGCAGGATTTACATAAGGGAAAAAAAACCTCCTGGAAACTAAGGAGGGATGTCAAATAAGACTTAAGCGCAAAGACATAACGTGCATCTAAATACACTGATTTCAGGGAGATTGATTCTGTTAACATTAATTCTCTTAACCTAATTACAAATTCTCTCCATGAATTCTTTAAATTTGGCATAGTGATTAAAAATACATCTCCAGTAACATAGAGGTAAATATTGCCAAGAAAATACTGAAAGAGAAGATTAAGAAGGGCAACTATGGACCTGCATTGGATACTAAAGCATATGTATAAAGCAGTTAAAATACTAGAGTACTGATTGATACAAGGCGACTGGTCAATTGACTCCAGTGTAAAACCCAGAAAAAGAAAAACATAACAGAATTTATGATAAAGTGGCATTTTAAGCTAGGTGAGAAAAGATGGGTTATTTAGAAGAAGCAAATAGATATTCTTTTAAACAGTTCTTAAGTGTTGGGGCACGGGCGCCTGGTGGCTCAGTTGGTTAAGCCTCTGTTTATTTTTATTTTTTGTGTCTGTTGATTTTAGCTCCTGTCCCTCCCTCTCTCTCAGAAAAAAAAAAAAAAAAACAAAAAAACCAAAAAAACAAAAACTTAAATGTTGCACCACACTGCAAACTAAATCTTGGATTGATTAAAGATTCAGTTGGGGAATAACAGCAAAAAATAAAAATAAAGAAAATGTAAACGTAAGGCTGGGCCAAATGGGAGGATTATGAGGCATGCAGAAACGGGTTTTCATTTCATCTAGGGAATATGAATTGTTCTCCCCTTGTGAGCTTGCACTTGATGATACACATTGCCAAGTCTGACCATGAGAACAGTTTTCTGTTGGCTGCATCCGCTCCATTCCATGGAGACTGACAGGGGTCCCGAGGGATGTGGAAGAGGAATAAACTGAGGGAGAGCATTCGTTAGGGAAGTATTCTGGGGGAACGTGCTTTCATGCACTCTAGCCCTAGTCGTATATAAATACTACGCTTTTTTTTTTTTTTCTTAAGATTTCATTTATTTATTCATGAGAAACTCAGGGAGAGGGAGAAGCAGTCTCCCTGCGGGGGAGTCTTGTGCGGGACTTGATCCCAAAATCCAGGATCAGGACTTGAGCTGAAAGCATAGGCTCAACCACTGAGCCACTCAGGGGCCCGGAAGACTACTTTTCCACACCCCAGAGTCTTTTGCAAATGTCCCATAATGCTCAGCCATCCCGGCAACGTTTGAGGGGAAGCCAGCCCAGCTCAAGGGGTCGCGGAGATTTGAGAGGCTTGGGCCTCCTGGCACATGCGCTTTGGGCACTCTTGGCCATGGGCTCCTTGTGAGCAGGCGAGTGGCGCCAGTTTCTGAGGTGTGCGGGTGCATTTGTGTTTAGCTGCCTTGCTGTGGTACATTTGTTCTGCAGAGAGAGATCTTGGACCCCGGTGCTCAGTTGCTGGGACCTTGCTGCGAGGCCGGCTTGGCTTATCTCCAGCACTAAGTGTTGAGCTCTAGAGGCGGCGAAAACCTGTGTCTGTGAAGCCTGAAAGCTTTGCGATGAAGACAATGTTTAGCTTCAGGGGCAAGAGGGGCGAGCTGCCCTTGGGCTTCAAGATGAGGCGGCGGAGGGCCGGCTCGCAGCGTCTGAATGGTACCAAACTCGCCAACCCGGGCCCCGGGTACCACATCCCAGACAGAGGTCTCAGAAAGATCCACAAAGCTGCCAGCGGGGGCAAGGCAGCGAAAGTGCAGCGGATTCTGTTGCTGGGAGACCAGATGAACAGGTGATAGGGACTTTGCAGCTGGCGGGGAGGAGGCAGGGTGGACGGGGTGAGGCGCTCACCTTGCTGGCCTGAGTCTGGAGAGCTGAGCCCTGGGTCACCACCCAGGGCGCTTGGCCGGCTTTCTTCTGGTGGCCCCGCAGCACGTACCTAGGTCGTGGAACCTTACCTGGGGTCTACTCTGGCCCACTGAGCAGCAAAACGTCTTCAGCTGCCTTTGGACCCGTTCAGAATTCTCCGTAGGGAGCACTTTACAGACAGTTTTGACGTGATTTAACGGGTTTTCAACAGTAGAAAGGAAATTAAGGGGACGCCTGGGTGCTGAGTGGGTGAGCATCTGCCTTTGGTTCAGGTTGTGATCCTGGGTCCTGGGAACCCCAGTCAGGTTCCTAGCACGGAGCCTGCGTCTCCCTCTGCCTATGTCTCTGCCTCTCTGTCAGTGTCTCATGAATAACTAAAATCTTAAAAAAAGAAATGAAATTCAGTGTATATAGTATTTTGTTTTTAATGGACATCTTATACCAATGTTATTAAAGAGTGCATGCTGAGAGAAGTAATTCCCAGAATTACTTTGGATACAGGGCAGTATCTGACTTATATCTGTGTACAGTTTGTACCTATGTTATTTACTGAGGGACCTTGGGAGGAGATTTGGAATTGGGAAGATGGTTCTGTCTGTGAATAGGAAGTCTCATTTTTCTGAAAATGTGTACTCTTCCCGTGTTTATCAGTATTCCATGACGCAATAGAAACGTTATGGTTTTAGAAATTTTGAGCTTATACGTGCGGTCTCTGTTCTTTTCATTGTGATAAAATTAAGAAAAGTTTTGCAATCACTCACTATATTGTACACCTGAACTTAATACAACGCTGTATGTTAACAAACTGGAACTAAAATGAAAACTTGAAAAAAAATTTATAGAATACCTTCCAGTTATTAAAACGTACCTTAAATTTCCTCAAAGTATTCGTTGACTAACAGCTGAAAAGACGGATAAATGAATGGAACAGATAAGAAAATGCCAAACACCTAAGTATATGTTAAGACTTTATAACTTGATGCTGGTGACATTTCATATTAGTAGGAAAAGGTGAATCATTCATCATGTTGATGACATATCTGCCCTTTGGAGAAAACTAGCTAGAATTTTATCTCATAAAAATAAGTTCCAGATGGAATACAGATTAAAAATGTTAAATATGCAAAATACAGTACAAGAGAAGAAAACATGAACGCTTCTATGCCCATTTTTTATGTTGACAAAGACCATTCTTAAGAATGACTTTAAAAGCAAGAGTTCGGGCAGCCCAGGTGGCTCAGCGGTATAGCGCTGCCTTCAGCCCAGGTCCTGATTCTGGAGACCTAGGATCGAGTCCCACGTCGGGCTCCCTACATGGAACCTGCTTCTCCCTCTGCCTGTGCTCTGCCTCCCTCTCTCCCCCTGTGTCTCTCACAAATAAGGAAAATCTTAAAAAATAAAATAAAATAAAAGCAAGAGTTCTGGAGGTTGATTCAGCCACATAAAAAATTAAAACTCACTGTATATCAGAAAATAATATTAATAAAATAAAAGAAAATGTCCTTGCAAAATATTTACAACATATGTGTATCAGATAAAAAAAAATGTCTTTGTTTTACAGGGAAGGTATTAAAGGAATGAAATAGGGGGGGCCTCTGGGTGGCCCAGTTGGCTGCTTCTGACTTCCTCTCAGGGTCATGATCTCTGGGTCCTGGGATTCAGCCCCTGGTGAGGCTCCCTGCTAGGTGGGGAATCTGCTTTTCCTTTGGCCCCTCCCCTCTGCTGGTGCTCTCTCTGTGTCAAAAAAAAAAAAAAATCTAAAATAAAAAAGGAGTAAAATCCCATTTTCCATCTGCAGGCTTTGTGAAGATAAGGAATGATGGTACTCATACTCCTGGTTAAAGTTGTTTTTGACTTTTCAGATAGTTCGGTGGTTAAGTCCCAATTGAAAAATATGTATTCCTTTTACCCATGAATTTTATTGATTTAAAATATCTTTAGTAAATAATTAAAGATAAACAATATACAATATGCTTTTCTCAGCACTATTTACAATAGCAGTGTATTAAGAACTCATTTAATGGCCTTTATAAATAAGTGGCAGTGTATCCATAGGCTGGACTACTATGTGACCACTCAATGTGGCAAAGATAATTGATACACATTAACATGCAAAGCTGTACTTTAGTGGATCATTAAATGAGGGGGAAAAATGGTTTGATGATACAAACACATAAGCAGACAATGGTTTTGTGTTAGCCAAAAAGATGTGAAAAATATAAAATTAGTTATCTTGAAACATTTGGATTGTAAGTGAATTTTTCTTGTTTCTTAAAAAAAGTCTGATTTCTACAGGAAAAGGTATACAAAAATTCCAACAAAGGTTTATTATCAATGAAGTAATCCAGGAGAACAGCAAGAATATGAATCTTGTGTAGGCAAAAAGAATTTCTATTTATTTACTTTTAAGAGGTTTCATTGATTCATTTGAGAGGGAGAAATCAGGCACATAAGCAGCAGGGAGGGGCGGGGGGACAAGCAGAAACCCCGTGGAGCAGGGAGCCTGATGATGTAGGACTCGATCCCAGGACCCCCGAGGTTCATGACTTGAGCCAAAGGCAGATGCCTAACTGAACTGACTGAGTTACCCAGGTGCCCCTCTTTCTATTTAAAAAAAAAAAATTGATGGGCGTGAGGATTGGTATTTTCTGACAACCTTTAGCCTCTTCAGAACTAAGGGGAATATTTTTATCTGTATGTAGATTTTATTATGCATACATTAAATATATATGTATGATTTTGTTATGTGCAGCTTTATAACAGGCAATAAGTAAATGATTAACAATAAAATTTTATTTTAGTTAAATCCTCATGAAAATAAAAAATACAAATGATACTGTGATAGCTTACAGAACTTTTGTTGTTTCCCTCTTCTGAAAAAAGTAGCAAATATAAGTTTTTATTGCTATTTCAAAAGTATTAGTTTACTTTACAAAACTTTTCTTTAAAAATATTGAACTTTCCTGGTGCTTTGGTGGCTGTTTGTTGAGCATCAGACTCTTGATTTTGGCTCTGGTCATGATCTTAGGATTGTGGGGTTGAGCCCCCCCCCCCCCCGTCGGGCTCAATGTTCAATGGGGAGGCTGCTTGAGATTGTCTCCCTCTCCCTCTGCCCTTCACCGCACTCATGTATTCTCTCTTTCTCAAAGAAATAGATAAATCTTTAAAAACTATTGAACTCTCCAAATGTATTTATTCTTCAGTCCATTTATTTCTCAAACAGAACCTGAACACGGGTTATGTAGCAGACATAGTCTACTCAGGATCTTTTCAATCTTAAAAAGACTTCATGTTGCCCAGTATGAGCAAGATGAGAAATTTTATGTATTTAGGTTTTAAAGCTTTCATTGTTAAGTGTAATCTCTCCACCCAACGTGGGGCTTGACGTTTAAGGACACATGCTCTACTGACTGAGCCAGCCAGGCACTCCTAAGATGAGAGATTTTATTTTATTTTGTAAAAGTTAAAAGATGTATTTATTTTAAAGGGAGAGAGAGGGTCATGGGAGAGGGGAGGGACAAGGGGGAGAGAGGAACCCAAGCAAACTCCACCCTGAGCATGGAGCCTAATGTGGGGCTCCGTCTTACGACCTTGAGATCATCCTGAGCCAAAACCAAAAGTTGGACACTCAATCACCTGAGCCACCCGGGTGCCCCTAAGGTGAGAAATTTTAAATGGAAGTATTAGGACTTAATCTCACCTGAAGCTTTTCCTTGGAACTTCCTGTCAAAGGAAAACATTTCTGAAGATCAGAAATTGTAAAAGATTACCTTTACCTGCCCTTTTGACATTTCAATAATATTAAATACTAATATTGGTAATTGGAAATAACTTGATTTCTATGATTCTAAACATTTTTCTATTAATTGAAATGCTTAATAAAATGAGCTTCCCCACATCCCCCCCCCCAAAAAAGTAAAATGAGCTGTGCCCGTTTATTTGAAATCCGAGTTTCCTTTGGCTCAAACTTCCTTGAAAACCAAACTAAGAATTACTTACAATTATTCTTTTGTTATTTTAGTCTCTTTTACCCGTAATGTGCTTTCAACTACTGAAAATTATTTTAGTTCTTGAACAGTGTAATTCCAAGCATAGGACTAGAAGTGCAACAGACCTGTTGTATATTGTTGTATATGTCATTATTTCACTTAAGGCACACCGTAGATTGTATGATGCCCCACTATTTATGTACCAAGAAGAAATATTTAAAAATCATGCCAGTTATAGTTTTAAGACATTTTGAATTAGAAATTGGATTCCAATGTCAGAGGTATTAAAAGGTGACAAAATGAGCATCTTGGAATCATTGAAATAGAGTATTCTTGCTCATCCTTAAACGTAGCCGCAAAGTAGGCATAATTGGATCATTTTACCTCATTGTAGTGGGTCTTTGTAAGTTGTAGTAATAGCTATAATAATATGTGTGCTAGGAACTAGTATTCTAAACACTTTGCATGGATCCTCATTTAAGGATCATGACAAGAGGTCTTGTGAGATAACTACCTTTTATTTTATTTATTATTGTTTCGTAACCTCTATAACCAACAGGGGTCTCGAACCCCTGGCTCCCGAGATCGAGTGACATGCTCTTCAGAGTGAGCCAGACAGGCGACCTGAGATAACTATTTTTGTGCCCATTTTGTGGATGAGGAAATTGCGATAAGGCTAAGTGGTCACAGTGAAGCGACAGAGTTAAGTAGGAATCAAACCCAGGTTGAGCTGCCTCCTGAGGTCATGCTCTTCCTAAACAGATAGGCTGCTCTTTTAATAGAGTGGTGAATAATCACTAATAAGTATTGTACTTTCTTCCAAAGTAAACTAATTGTTTGTTTTGGGGTCTTGAGAATAACAGAGTATTTAACATTTACAATTCTATGAATTAATTTGCAATTTTTGAAAAGGTACACTGTAATTTCCTGACAAGTCCTTTCACGCTCACAGGAGTGCTCTGCACTTGGCCTGTGCCAATGGCCGTGAAGATATGGTGAAGCTCCTGGTAGATCGGAAATGCGAGCTAAACCTCCGTGATGGTGAAGACACGACAGCTCTAATGAAGGTGGGTGGTCACAGCTATGTCTGCCTGAGGTGGATTGGATTGAAGTCCTTGCAATGAACATTTGTTGCATTTAAACATAACTCATTGGTGAAACTTGTGGCATGTTTCCTTTAAGTTCCCAGAATTTACATTCTGTTTCTTGGTGTAATGCTCACAGGCTGTACAATGCCAAGAAGAGGCATGTGTAGATCTTCTCCTGAAACACGGTGCTGATCCGAATCTGAAAGACAACAAGGGCAACACTGCTCTCCATTATGCGGCCCGTGAAGAGATTGTCTCAATAGCAGAGAAGCTGCTTTTACAGAAACGCAAATATAGAGACCAAAAACACGGTACAGATCAACTTTTTTTTTACAACGTATTTGACATTATAAATAAATAAATAAGTAAGTAAATAAATAAATAAATAAATAGCTGCAAAGGTTTTATTTTTTTGTTGCATATATATGTACATAGGTAATATATTTATATGAAGACATCGGCACTGAATTTTATACAGTAGGTCCTGTCATCCTGGAAACAACTGCAAACCAAGGCAGGGGGTGGGAAAGAGAAAAGTAATGCATATAGAAAGGCAACATTTTGTCTGCTAGCCATCCTTCCACCCCAGAAAGAAAATCTTCCCCTTAGTGCCTGGGAGTAGATGGTCCCCTCAGAGCCCACAAAGGATTGAAGGCCTAGTGGGGAGTGTGGTGATGATGGAGGCCGAAAGCTGTGTAGGGGCTTAGGAAATGGATGCTTCTGGGGATGAGTAGGAGACCGTGACCCAGAGGAGTAGCTTGGGTGAATGTAAATGGGAGGAGAAAGCAGCAGGTTGTAATAGGCCTTGGGCGCTCTAGGCCCTAAGGTTCAGAAGATGAGAGCAGGGGGATCAGGTCATGACATCCTACAGGTGGTATCTGCTTGTGCTGGTAGCCAATCTGCCAGCCATGTACCATGGTGAGGCCTCCCATTCCGGAGAGTAGCTCCTGCTCAGCCTATGTAGTTCCTCAGTGGGGTGGTAGGTGTCCATGGGGAGCTGGTGATGAGCACACTTGCCAGTCTCCGTGTGCTTTCTTTGACGTGCATTACCTTCAGTTGCTGCTCTTGCAGAAACACTGTTGTGTGCCATAGATAGGGTCGATTTTTCATTGGAAGCTCAAGCATGTCCTGGATGAAAATATTTTGAAAT